GGTTGCCATTTCCTTCTCCATTCCTTCAAGCTAAACGATATTAAATACTTGCTTTGCATCTCAAGTGTCTGAAATAGTCAATGAACAAAACAGGGCTGAGATGAACTCATTGATGATTTGTTTTTTAGTCTGAAAGAACAGAAATCAGAATACAAATAGGAAGCCCGACAAGCAGGCACCAGGTGGAAAAGGCTGGTTTTCCTTTAGGTCACAAAATTGTTTCCAATGGAAGAGCCAGCCCGAGGCACTTCAGAGTCAAGGAATCATGGCACACGTGAGGAGGAATTTCATTGCAGCAGGATGAGGGCTGTGGCCCACCATTCACTCATTCATACATTCATTTACACACCGAATCCGTCCCCACCCAGGGCATCTGGAGGAAGGAGAAAGATCAGGGCTCGCAGGGAACATAACTGCCTGAGGATGAACACGGGAGCAGGGTGGTGAGACAGAGGAGGTGCTACGTGGAGCCCAAGAGTGGAGGAAGGGAAAAAGAACCTCATGGAAAAGACGGACATCCAATAATGTTTACTTGTGCGCGTGCACACCGAAACGCTTCAGTCATATCTGATGCTTGGCAACCCTGCGGACCACTCCTCTGTCCATGGGATTCTCCAGGGAAGAATACTGGAGTGGGTTGCTGTGCCCTCCTCCAGGGGATCTTCCTGACTCAGGGATCAAACCTGAGTCTCCTATGTCCCCTGCATTGGCAGGTGTGCAATTTATTACTAGCACCACCTGGGAAGCCCGAATGTTTACTTAGCATGCACTTACTATAAACACATCTACACGCTCAGCATTCTGCTGGATTCACTGGGAGATAGAAAGCAAGTGAAGGAAACAACCCTGGTCTTAAGGATCCCGTCTATACAAGCAGAAACCGCAGTCACACTCAGCAGAAAATTTTTAAAAAGGGGATCAAAGGGATGCCACATAATAAATGCTAAACAACATGGCACAGACCCTGTGTCCCACGGTGCTTCAAGAAGGGCCCACCACAGGGGCTGGTGAGGTTCCCGAGAAAGCTTCTAGGAAGGCAAGCCGGTGCAGAGCCTACCCCCACGGGCAAGAACTGAGAAGCGGGCAATGTGCGGGGGGGTGACCGCTTCTGGAAGAGCCTGGGGATGGGGCGGACTGGCAGTAACTAGAGTGGACGGAAAGGCAAGGCTTCTCTCAACAATCAGGATAATAACAGATTCCCTGACATTTCTCTCTGAACGGGTCACTGAACAAATACCACTTTTTTTTTAATCAACGGGAAAAAAACTGCATTTCATTTATCACTCTTATTTTTTTACCCATTTTTGATGTGTCTCTGCCTTTTTATCAAACCCAGCTGACCAATGACCTATCAATTTTACTTCTGCTGCACTTTTTGTGCAAAAGATGATAATAAAGGTAAAATTCTTGGAGAAAAAAAAATATCTGCCAGGCTTACCTTTTTTCCACCTCCTTTAGAGAAGTATTTTGATTTCATTTTTCATAGAGAATTTAATACCAATATTAGTATTGATACTGCCTTTGGCATTACATTTTCAGAAGGTTAACGTAAGTTAGTAGAACATGAGCCTGGGATATTCAGTAGTCTTTCATAAACCCAGCATTTAATCCATAAAAAAGCACAAATCACAATAAAATCTCATACTTCTCCATGACCACTGTGGAATATCTGTGATATATATAGGCTTTTTCCTTCTTCAATTTAAAACTTATTCTTTGTAGAGTGACACTAAGTATTACATTAAATGTCATGTGTTAAGAATGGTAATTTTTTTAAAAAAGAGACAGAAGCAAGCATTTATCATTTTGATCTTTGTTCTAAACACTCATATTAATTTTAAAAAGTTAATGCTGGTTTCTGTTGCCTAAAATACAGGCTTGTCTAAAGTGCTCTAAGAATCAGTTCAGTTCAGTTGCTCAGTTGTGTCAGACTCTTTGCGACCCCATGAATAGGCACTCTAAAATATGCAGTGATGGAAAATAATCGTAGTTGCTGTATATTGAAAATCTGTCAGTATCCTGTTAGGTACTTAACATTTAATATCTCCAATCGTCCTGAGAAACTTTGAAGACTGCTGTTCTCCAAACTTCATGTGAGGAAATTCTGGCTTGGAAAAGACAACAAGAATCTCAACGGTGATATGAAGAGTTTTTGACTGAATTTGGAGGGTTGAATAGAAAGCACATTTAAAGCCTTTTTGCAATACCATGTTTGATGCTGTATGTTAAAAAAAAAAATCCTTACAGACTATTTTAAAGAGTGAAAAGAACCTCCCAGGGGAACCAGAAGAATTCCTTCTTTAATTTTACCAGGATTACATGTGGACTAAGGATCACAAATGGCCAGTAGAGGGAGACTTGTGCATGGATCCTATCGATTCAAGTTGAGAGAGACCAGATGTCTTTAAGCTTGGTCTTCCTGACCACTTTGGCAAAGCACAGGCTCCCCCGCCAACCCCGACCCCCTCCCTCCCGGGAGGAGATAAACCCAGGCTTGTTTGCAGCCTTGAACTTTTCTCTTTGGGATAAGGCAGAGTTAAAAAGAACTTTGTAGCATCTGGTGTGTGGGTGTTAGAATCTTGGGACCCCCTAGGGAGGGCTCTGGTTTCTAGGAGGAACCAGAAACCAGGAATGTTGGATTTTTATCACCCAGAGGCCATCACTTCATGGGAAATAGATGGGAAAACAGTGGAAACAGTGGCAGACTTTATTTTTTTGAGCTCCAAAATCACTGCAGATGGTGACTGCAGCCATGAAATTAAAAGAAGCTTACTCCTTGGAAGGAAAGTCATGACCAACTTAGACAGTATATTAAAAAGCAGAGACATTACTTTGCCAACAAAGGTCCATCTAGTCAAAGCTATGGTTTTTCCAGTGGTCATGTGTGGATGTCAGAGTTGTACTCTAAAGAAAGCTAAGCGCCGAAGAATTGATGCTTTTGAACTGCGGTGTTGGAGAAGACTCTTGAGAGTCCCTTGAACTGCAAGGAGATCCAACCAGTCCATCCTAAAGGAGAGCAGTCCTGGGTGTTCACGGGAAGGACTGATGTTGAAGTGAAACTCCAATACTCTGGCCACCTCATGTGAAGAGTTGACTCATTGGAAAAGACCCTGATGCTGGGAGGGATTGGGGGTGGGAGGGATTGGGGTCAGGAGGAGAAGGGGATGACAGAGGATGAGATGGTTGGATGGCATCACTGACTCAATAGACATGAGTTTGAGTAAGCTCCGGGAGTTGGTGATGGACAGGGAGGCCTGGCGTGCTGCGATTTATGGGGTCACAAAGAGTTGGACACGACTGAGCGACTGAACTGAACTGAACTGAGGCTCTTACAGGAGGGTCCTAAAGCCCTGAAAGTTCAACAGTGTGGTCAGATTATAGCGGGGCTTAGAGGGGAGATGTTACTGAAACTTTCTCACCAAGGCAGGAAAGTTGCCCCAGGGATTCTCCCTTCCTCCTCTGGCTTTTTGTTTCTTTTTTACAGCAACTTAGTGGACCAGATGGTAACAAATCTGCCTGCAATGTGGGAGACCCAGATCAATGCCTGGGTGGGGAAGATTCCCTGGAGAAGGCAATGGCAACCCACTCCAGGATCCTTGCCTGAAGAATTCCATGGAGAGAGGAGACTGGCAGGCTACAGTCCATGGGGTTGCAAAGAGTCAGACACAATCGAGTGACTAACACTTTCAGTGGAAAGAAAAGTCAGTCTGAACCCTAAATATGCACTATACTTTTGCCACCCTCAAAACTGCATTCCAAGAAAACAAGAAGTATGTCTACTTAGATAGAAGGATATACACAGCTTTAATGAGAGCAGGGTTTAGATTTCCAACGGAACCACAAATGATCATCCCTCTTCTGAAAACTGGAGAAACAGGTTGCAGGTGTCTTTGGGGAGTCAGGAAGAGATAGGGTGAAGTGTGTGTGCGTTTCCACCCAAGGGCAATCTGAACATAGAAAGTCAGGCTTCCTCGTATGTTAGGAATTCCTCGTATTTCAGAACTTGACAAGGATCCCCATGGTCAACAGTTACTCCATCTTCCCTATAACCTGTAAGGTTTTCAGGGGACTTTTAAGTGACTTGAGATGCCATGTGTGCATCTGAGGAAATAAAAAACCACAGTCTGAAACTACTTTTGGAAGACTTTCCAGGCCAGCTGGAGACATTCAAACTATGATATAGCAAACAGAACCCACCAAAGTCTGCAAAGGTCCAAGGCAGAAGGATGCAGCATCCACTGTCCAGAGGTAGAGACATGCTTTGGAATCTTAGTTCTTTTTTTTTGGCCAAATGATGCCATATATCAGACCAGAATGCACCCAATGCTTGGACTCCAGTTCAGTCCTGTTTCAACTCATTTCCAGTGAACAAAATGAAACTTTGACTATCTTTTGGGACGTCTATCTCATTGTTGGTTTTCCTAGGATGCTCTCATGGATGCAGAGCCACCCAGCAACAACTGCATTACACTCAAGAGTCCAGTGAGGTTCACCTCTTATATCCTGAACTAGCATTGAAACCAAAAGTGCTGACAATGTTTGGTATTAAGTTAAAACACTAATAAGCGATATTTTTACATTTGTTATTTTCATATTTTCCAACATTTTATACCTTGTGGAAGTCATTATCAAAGACACACTTGGTTTACATTTTAATTCTCCCGGTCATTAAAAGCCTCCTATTACACTAGTATTTGCTGCTATAAATACTCTGAAAACTTAAGAGGGATAATACAAAATGTTGACAGAAACAAATAAAACACAAATGTGATTTTATAGCATGTTATCCAATATTTCAGGTGACCTTTGAGTTAATGTCTTGGTTGTTATGGGCTTCCTCAGTTTATAGTCTGGGCTATTGACATAAAGGATACTGGCTTCACCACTGGGCTGTGTATCTCGTGAAACAGTAAATCAACAAGCTCCCTATTTTGATCGAGCAATCAGTTTTCATTCAATGAGCACACTTTTCAAAGAAGTTCCATATGTGAAGTACCTACCAAAAGCTGTCCAGCAAAGCAGACGAAAAGGATAAAGGCAAGCGAGAGAAACGCAGCTCCAAAGGAAATCCCGAGAATGGACGTTCTACCAGGAAACAAAAAGGAACATGTTAGTGTGGGGCCAGCTTCAGTTTTCCTGGAAAGCCATCATGAATATTTGTGGCTTGAATGAGGATTTTTTTAAAACTAGGACTTCACTCCTCACTAATATCTTTGAGAAATGAAAATGGAGCTAAAAACAAACCAGAGATATGTCTATGGGAAAATGCATCTACGGTTGTGTCTGAACAACTTGCTGTGATATGACATTAAACCTGTCCTACCAGCATCATTTCTTCATAAGAGAAAAATTGTCTTTACGATTTTCTGGCTGCTCTGCAACCAGCACTTTCATGCCCACACTGACCATGGCCATCACGGTTCCCCCTTCCCTGTCTTGATGTCCTTGTGGTTTTGCCTCCAGCGCAGCCTCATGGATGTGCTCGGAAACCTCATTCCCCATTCTTACTCCATGGCCTTGCATTTTTGCATAAGTCAATGAACACACAAGCTTCCTGTGATCATGTGAGAAAAGTGCTCACTAAGTTACAGGTTCTGTCACCCTCTGGTTACAAGTAGATAAAAGTGGTCACAAGAACTGTATGCATTTCTCAGAGTTCCTTTAAACTATTCAGAAATTTAAGGTGTCTTACAATGTCCTTTCATCCAAAGGATACAACTATTCACAGGAATTGTATGCATTTCTGAGAGGTCCTTAATATAATGAAAAATCAAGGTCTCTTAAAACATCATGCAATCCAAAGGAAAAAGGGTTTGGGAGCATTAAAAAGGATGAGTCCCAATGAATAATCCAAGATGAAATTTGAATGCAACATCCGAAGAGAGGTCAGGTGGTGCCTGAGATGGCAATGGAAGCTTGAGCCAATGAGGTTGGCTAGAGAAACTGAAGAGGCAGAAGAGTTGGCTCTGAGAAGTGCAGGGACATCCTGAATGTTGATGCATCAAAAGGAAGACTCAGATATGAGCAATCTACAAGCTGAAATGCCCGGCAAGTGCACAGCTGTGAGCCCCCAGCCTGGGGGGTGGGGAAAGAAGTGAGTCATCAGTGAACTAAGGAACCCCTTTGTGCCATCAGGATAGGAAGGGTCCACTCAGTTGGCACTCAGATAGTTCTTCTATTTTGAGAGATGAGCACACATCAAGCAAGCTCTATAAAACCTTGACTTCAAACCAGTGTGCACTCAAAGCTGACCCAAGGATGTATTTATTGGAGTGCTGAGTTATGTCCTAGACGTGATGTACAATGCTTTCAAATACCTAGCCTGATAATGACATTTGTTCACATTTTACGAGTAATGATAAGTGTCTGCTAGGAGGGTGCAGATACACCAAATATACCTAGGTTGTTGACTTGTCTCATGGCCAGTTCCACGCTGGGCTGGAATGGAGTAGACATGAGTAAGACCCCTGTTTTGAGTGACTCACAGTCTCAGAAAGATAAGCTCTATAAGCCTCCTCACCTCCCCCATCCCGAACACCCTTTTTCTCAGACATTGCTCCTTATTACTGCTCAGAATCCACAGTTTCAGCATCTCTCCATCACAGACTCTCAGGCCTCCTGTTACCACCGTGGATGGAGGCGAGCGTAGGAGGGCTCTTGTTATTTCTGCGACCGAAGAGACACCAGAACTCATCTGCTCAACTTCCATTGGCCATTCTTTTCATGCATCTAAGACAGCTCTGACCGGTTTTCTGTGACTCTGTGCTCTCTTGGTTCCTTGTTGGTGTCAAGGTGATGCCACCTGCATAAGGTTGACATCAGAAAAATAATACTTTTTTCTTAGGTCTGCAACTGTTCAAATATGAATGATCTCTAATCGAAGGTTTGGTCAGTCTCAGCTCGAAACCATCTGGTGATAGGAGGGTGAAGCTGATGGTGGAATGAAATGACAATATAATGATAGAATACTGTGTGTCCAGCACTGTTCTAAAGGCTTTATACGTATATGTAACCCTGGACAGCAGGATTATTGTTATTACCTCATTTCACTCAAGAGAAAATGACACCCAGAGAAACTGAGAAACCAACCAGAAGTTAACCACCCTCCCAAGTGGTGTGGGTTGGGATTAAAGTCCACACAATTGTATACCTGACCCAGGTTGTGCTTCCTGGAGTAAACATGTCATGTTTCAATCAGGTTTACTGGTTTGACTTTCCTGGAAAATTATCTTTTTCATTAAAATTTTGAATGTGAGACATTCTCCTTAATATTCTCTTACAAATTTTGAAGTTGTTATAGTTGAAGCAATTTCTTCTTGTCCTTCATGTTATTTTTCTGATTCTCTCTAGATCAGACTTTTGAAGCTTTGCATGTTTGTTGAACTTCTCAAAGAATAAACTTTTGGCTTATTATTAAGGTCCATGCTTTCTGATCATTTTCTTTATTATTGGTTTCTGATTTAACTTAAAATAATCCTTTCCTCCTTCTTTATTTAAACTTTCATTGTTCTTTTTCTTGATTGTCACTTGCTGCTAATCTTTTCTATTTTCTAATAAATGCATTTAAGGACATAAATATTCCTATAATTACTGCTTTAGCCAAATCCCACAGCTTTTGATTTATAGCTACTCATTGCTATTCTTTTCTAAAAAGCCTATAATTTCAATTTCCATTTCCTTTTAATACAAGAGTACCTCTACAGGGAAATTATTTTTGGTCTGTCCTTGTTATTTCTAAAGTCATTAGGTTTGATCAGAGATTGTGGTTTCTATTATTTTTACTTTGACAATTTCTTTTTCTTCTTGGATGTGATAAATACATTCTATTTCTATTATGTCTTATGATACATATTTACATTTCCTTTTTGCTGGAAACAAAGCAAGTTCTTTCAGTAAATCTATTGTCAGAGCCTGAGGATTTAGTCAGATCCCCAGTGGGCTGATTTATTGGCTCAATTTGATCTGTCAATTTTAGAATATATTAACATTTCCAACTAAGTTTGTGGTTTGTCAATACATCTGAACATTTTAATAGTGTCTATTTATTTCAAAGAGATGCTGGAGTGCATAAAGATTCATGATTGTTAACTTTTCTTGGTGACTGTACTGTAATATAAGCTTCTTTGTTTTCATGCTAAATGTCTTTCACTTGGATTCTAGATTGTCAGAAATTTATACTACTACAGCTTTCCTCTTTCTGTAAGCTGTTTCCTAAAATAGCTGTTTTCTATGGTTTATTTCCAATCTTTTCTCTTTTAATTTTAGCTAGATTTTTAAAGGTGGTACAGAAGTGGCATTTGGTTTATAGCCTCAATCTCTGACTCTCTTTCCAAGAAAAGGACATTTTCATCCATTCACAATTATGAAATTTATTAATATTTGACCAGTTCTCTCTATCTTATTTTCCTAAAATGTTTGGTAAAGTTCAGACAGAAATCACTTGAGTAAAAAACAAATTTAATACAAGCATAGGGAAGCCTGGCGTGCTGTAGTCCATGTGGTCACAAAGAATCAGACATGACTTAGTGACTGAACAACATCAGATAAATACCCACTTAAATTTTCAATATGTGTTAATTTTGCTAAGTTGTACAGCCAATGAATTTTCCCACTTTATATAAGTTGTAAATTTTTTGGCCTTGAGTAATTCATAACTTTTCATATTTATCCTGCTAAAATCTGTAGAATCTGTAGTAAATACCTTTTTATTTCTTATATCATTAGTTTGGGTGGTTTGTGATTATCGCTCTTATTTTCTTTCTTGATCAGTCTTGCTAATGGTTAGGCATTTAATTGTTTTTTTAAAGAACCAATGTTTGTCTTTATTATTTTTCTGTTGTTTGTTTTCCATTTTATTGATTACTTTTTTCTTAGTGTATGTTCCCTCCTATTTATTGGACTTGCTCATCTTTTTCCGGCTTCCTAAGGTTGAAAGGTAAGCAACAGGTTTCACCTCTTTCTTCTTTCAAATATAAGCATTTTAAAGCTACAAATTCCTCTCTAAATCACTGTTAAGTGACGTTCCACACAGTTTATTTTAATACACAAAACATTTGCCAATTTGTCTTGTGACTTTTCAGATTTATTTTATTTCAATTTTTTAATTGAAATATAGTTGATTTACAAAGTTGTGCCAATCCCTGCTGTAAAGTGACTAAGCTGTACACATATATACACTTTTATGTTCTTTTACATTATGGTTTATCGCAGGGCATTGAATACAGTTCCTTGCGCCATATATGAGTGCTCAGTTGCTTCAGTCATGTCCGACTTTTTGTGACCCCGTGGACCATAGCCCGCCAGGCTCCTCTGTTCATGGGATTCTCCAGGCAAGAGTGCTGGAGTGGGTAGTCATTCCCTTCTCCAAGGGATCTCCCCGCCGAGGGATGGAACCCGCGTTGCTTGCACCTCCTGCATTGGCAGGTGGGTTCTTGATCACTACTGTCACTGTTCTTTTCCATTATGGTGTATCACAGGATAGTCAGTAGTTTCCTGTGCTACACAGCAGGACCTTATTATTAATCCATTTTAATGTACTAGCTTGCATCTACCAACTCCAATCCCACGGAGAGAAGGGCCTGGTGGGCTACAGTTCATAGGGTCCCAAAGAGTCGGACACAACTGAGGCGACTTAGCATGCACACATGCACCAACTCCAAACCCCCAGTCCAAACCTCTCCCTATTGCATCTCATCTGGCAACCACAAGTCTGTTCTCTAGGTCAGTGAGTCAGTTTCTGTTTTGTAGATGGGTTCATTTGTGCCACATCTTGGGTATTTGTCTTTCTTTTTCTGACTTACTTCACTTAGTATGATAATCTCTAGTTGCATTCAGGTTGCTGTAAATTTTATTTTTTTTTATGGCTGAGTAACATTTAATTATATGGGCTTCCCCAGTGGCTTGGCAGTAAAGAATTCACCTGCAAGGCAGGGGATGTGGGTCTGATCCCTGGGTTGGGAATATCTTTTGGAGAAATAAAGAGCAACCCACTCCAGTGTTCTTGCCTAGGAACTCCCATGGACAGAGAAGCCTGGTGGGCTACAGTCCACAGGGTTGCAAAACAGTTGGATGACAGTGCCTAAGCA